GTTTGAGGTAGAGACCATCTATTCCAATTTTTTGTAGGGTTTTTATCATAAATGCATGTTGGATTTTGTCAAATGCTTTTTCTGCGTCTGTGGAGATAATCATATGGTTTTTGTCCTTGGCTCTATTGATATAGTGTATTACATTGATTGATTTTCGTTGTCTTCTGATTTTTCATTGATTCTGATTAAGCTTATGTTAATCTTCTTTGCATCATCTAACAGCTGTTGGATTGATTTTTTTGTGGTCCCTTGCTATTTTTAAGAAGTCTTTCATTTGGTGATCGCTAACCACAAATGTGTTTTCTAGATCTGATAATCTATCTTCACATTGGTTGATTTTGCTGTGTATACTTTCAATAGAGTTTTTAATCTCCTGGATATCTGTTTGAATTGGTTTTATTAAATCCAGTTCTTTCTCATGTTGGTCATGTATGGTTCCCATCATTTTCCTAAGGTCCTCTACTTTTTTTTATCTGTATCTGCTCTAGATTCACTAACCATGTCTTTCATTATGGTCATCATCTCTTTAGTTATCTGTGTAATTATTTGTTTTGTTTTTTTAAGAGACTCATTCATCTGCTTTTTTACTTCTGCTGTTACCATTTCAAAAGGTTTAGCCGAGTGGCTTTTGATATCTTTTCACCTCAGTGCCCCCCGGATTTGCCTTGGACAAGTTGGAGGTCTGGAGTTCCATCTTGCTTCCATGTTTTCTCATTTTCTATTTTTTAATTTGTTTTCTGGATTGATGCTTGTAAATTGCTTATGATAGGTAGCTTTATTAGTAGTATCAAGACCTCTTTAGGAAATGACTGCTTTACAGAGATCTCTTCTAGGTGTAGCTGGCTTTTGGCTCTTGAGTCTGATCCAAAATCCTGCTTCTTCAGTTTATTAAGCATGAGAGGTTGCAGACTGTTTGGCCTAGCACCCAGTTCCTTGGTACTGGACTATGGTATTTCTTTATGACCCCCGCCCTCAGACAATCTCAGTATTGGCATACAAGGAAGAACAGCTGATCAAACTATGTCACCTTGGCTAAAGTAGTACAATTAGTAATAACAATAGCATCAAGCACAGTCTAGAAAATGACAAACTGTGGTAACTGTTAATTTGCCACCTTTAACCATAAGTGCAAGATTTATAGTTTTTTAACAAAATCTAAAACAAATCAGAAAATTATATATATTAAACATCCCCGCAATAGAATGATTTTACCCTCAGGGAGAAAATTTAAAAGGGATAAGAGGAAAAAAATAGATAAATAAAAGAAGAGAAAGTGATTAGAAGGCTTAAAGACAAAGGAAGATTACGCAAGCTTTGGGAAACTGCTAAAGACAAGAGGGAAAGAAAGGAAAAAACAAGAACAAAACAAGTAAAAACTATTCACACTCATGAAAAAACAAAAACAAGAAAAAAAAACAAAAAAGATTTATCTGTGATTTCAAGCCTGTGATTATTTTCTGGGGCCTACAGTTTTGTGGTAGTGTCCAATTCAGAGTGTACCTCTGCTGTCACTGATAGACAAAGGAGGTAGACAGAGTCTAGATCCATGCTGGATGATTCCAGCAAATGTGTACGAGGAATAGGGCAGGGTGATGATTCTGGTGCTTTCAACTTCTCAAAAGTTCAGTCTGACCCTGGCCTCTGATTGTGGAGTTGGGGCCTGAGTTGTTCACCCTACAAGACTCTGGGTGTCTCTTTCCAGCCTGACCTTGGCTCCCTGACTGTGAACACCACCCATAGGTGTCCCTCACCCAGTCATTGGGAACCCTGAGATGAAGTCACCCTAACTGCTGCTCAGTCCCAGGTTCAGTTGGCCCCTCCCTAAAATAGTTTCTGGCCAAGCACTCTCTCTAGGGGACACTGCAGACACTTGGGCTAGATTCACTCACCAGTTGTTGTGGCTCACAGCATCCACTGCTCCATTCCCCTGGTGTGCTTCTCTCAGGAGGCCGGTGGAGTCACCTGCCCTCACTGTGTCTCCATAGATTCGAGCCTTCTCTCTCAAACCAGGAGCTGGGGAGAAAGTGCAGTTTGCCACCTCCTTTTTCTGTGTTGAGGTTTGTCTCTTCACCTGTGGGCTCCAATTCTTCCTTCAGATCCTTCCTGCATCCTGGGGCTCCACCTCCCTCCTTCTTTTCTTCTCCACGTTGCTATATTCCCGTGTCTGAATTCCAAATCTTTGAGCTGCTTTTCTAAAACACAATTCCAGGATGTCTTTGAATCTGCTTAGTACTCTTCCCTAGTGCTTCCTTTTCCACAGGAGTCATTCCAGGCCCCTGGCCCAGCACTGTCATGTGGCACTCTTTCATGTGGTCCCTTCTTGATTTGTTACCCTCTTACTTGCAGTTTCCCCAGCAAGTTCCCTTGTTGTCTGCTGTATTGAAGCCAAATTAAAGTACACCAAGCAGATTCTCTCATGTTTTGTCCTTGAACCTATGAACTCATGGTGTTTGCTCTGCCCAATATGTATCTTCTCACCCATCCCTGTTCCATTTGTCAAACTTTACTAGCCTTCAGGCCTGGGCTTGCCCATCTCCATCAGGAATGGAAACCTGTCCTGGTACCACCCTTCCTGTCCTTTGGCTTCAGACATGCCTCTTCGCTAGCACTTACCACACTACATATATGTCTGTCCCCCTAGTTGCTAGGTAGCTGACTCTACATTTGTATCCTTGGTGTCTTGCTGGGACCAGGCATTCAGTAAACCAATGAGTAGGGTTGTCCTTGAAGAAAGCATGTCCCAAAGTTGGAAGCAGCAATTTTCTACTTTGCTGTTTCCTGTAATTATCTGAGCAAGCCTTGTCACAAAGAAGAAAATACAGTTTTGTGGATGCTGTGAAGAGTCATACTTCATAAGTATCCAGTCCTGAAGCATCCATACTGATCATCAGCAATACAGAACCTCTGTGACCTTCAATGGGCTTATTTGTTGTCACATGTTAAGAGAGAAAGTATCTTAACTTAGTAATATAAACAGTGAGTAGACCAATAACTTAACCCATATGTGCATTTTGACATTTGTGGCTGCTTTGGAAAGCTACTTATGTCTGCTTTTTCTTCCAGTCAAACGCTTCAGAGAACCAAAGCATGAAAGACGTCCATGGAGGATATGGTATGTACTGAAGTATGAACTCATTCCTGGAACGCTTTTGACTGTTGGGTTTTGGAGGGGAGGTTTGAAGAGAGGTGGTTGTGGTGGGTAGGAGATGTACTGTGAGAAATTACATGTAACGTAGAGTGTCTGGAATCACTCAGTTGAGTTAATCATTAGGAACTATGTATAATACAAAAGCACTTCTAGTTTCCTGATAATTTCTGATCCCTACCATTATTTTATGATCACACTGCTTCCAATTGTAGAAGATAGAAAATAATACAGATACATCATTCTCTGCTGCAGGCTTCTTTGTCTCTGCCTCCGTGTTTTTAGATTATGTTTAAATTCTTGGATTTTATAGTGTATGTGTGTAAGCAAAAAAGAATCCAGATTTGGAGATTATCGACTACAGTATACCATACAAATGCTTCTCTGTTCAAAACTGGTCTTCCTTGGTCCTAATATAAAGGAAAACTATTTTCATATTCACAGTCCTTCTGACACAAAATGTTTGGGATTTTTTCTCTCATACTAACCACTTGTTTGTGTTTTCCAACAATCCACATACCACTTGAGTGTCTCATAATTTAACTCAGTTCTGATGTTCACTACCTGAAGTTAGCAGAGACCCCAAAGGTTGAGGGTTCAGTGCCACAAACCTGCCCTCCCACTTCAGATGGTAATCATGAGTAGGGTCCTCAGGGAACCCACACTTCTGACCAACTTGGCTACAAAGTAGCGGGTATATACAATACCCTCCTCCTTTCACTACTTTGCTAGAGCAGTTCATAAAGCTCAGGGAAGCATTATTTTTGTTTGTTTGTTCGTTTGTTTGTTTTTGGTACCGGGGATCAAACTTGGGTCCTTGCGCTTGCACAGCAGGCGAAACCACTGAGCTAAATCCCCGGCCCCTAGACCCTGTAGTTTAAGGATTTGTATGGGGGCTTCATCACATACTCATGACTGTTAACTCACACCCAAGCCCCTCTGTCTATGGAGGATGGTGTTGGGAGGGAGGGGCTTCTGATCATAGCTCAGTCTTTCTGGTGACCTTCTCTATCCTGCAGCTGTCTAGGAGCCACAAAGCGTCATCTCATTAAAACAAAGGATGCTATCACCCAGACATTCCAAAGGATTAAGAGCTCTGTAACAGGAAGTGGGGTCAGAAACCGAATATTAGGACAAAAGTTGCTCTAGCACCTCTGTCACTGAAGAAATTACAAAGGGAAACAGGGCCAGAGACCAAGTGTGTATTCATTAGATAAATAATAAAGCATATCTGTTCCCTGAAGGATGACCCTGCAGTCACAGTTTTTTATTGGTGATCAAGTAGTAAAGCTTTACAAATAGGTTCAGAAGACAAAACTCCAAAACCATCAGTCACTTGGAAGGAGACTGCCAGCCCTTCAGGACAGCCACTGTCCACAGGAAGCTGGCTTTGTGGGCTGCTTGTCTCTCTTGCCCACACAGAACAGCCACTTTCCCCTTGAGAGGAAACCTTGATGGGTCACTGTGGTAAAGGCCCTTCATAAAATCTTGTGTGTACATTGCTTCAAGATGTTGATAATTCTTGTTTTTATTTTCCCTGCTCATTAGTTTTCTCAGATCTGGGTATTTAGCTTCCAAGTAGGTGACTCTCACCTCAGCACTGGGGAGGGACCTAGTGAAGACCTAGATCTGGGACTCTCCTACTCTTACACATGCTCTTCTTTCCTGACCCCTTCTTGCCTTCTCCCTCTCCTTGTTTAGGGAGTTCTTTTCAAGTTCTGTCTCAGGGTTGGTCTGGTTAATCTTTGTGATCTGTTCATTCTCTAAGTTAGATATTACCCTCCTGTCAAGACTGATAACAAGTGCCGTTTCTTTTTTGTGCAGGTTTTTAGACACTTCCAAACAAGCCATAGGGATGCTCTTCATCCACTTTGCAAATGTGTACCTAGCAGATCTCACTGAAGAGGACCCTTGTTCATTGTAAGTGGCCCAGATTTGAGTGCAGACATGGTCCACCCTCCATGGAGGATATGGGCTGCCTGTATTTGTTTTGTTTTGAGACAAGGTCTCTCTGTGTGTAACTCAGACTGTCCTTGAACTCATTATGTAGTCCAGGTTGGCCTCAAACTTGAAGCAGTTCTCTTGCCTCAGCCTCCCAAGTGCTGGGATTACAGGTGTGCACCACCACGCCTGGCTGGCCTTGCATTCTGCAACCAATTCCACCTCCATAGCTTGGGGGGGAGCCCCATTTCTCCTGTGTTCTCCTGAGAGCTCATCCTACACAGCTGTCAGCTGGCTCTCAGGGCCTTGATAGTTGCCCCATGCATATACATCCCCAAGTCTCCCAGGCACCCTTGGCAGGGCAGGACAAAGCCCTTCAAGAGTCTCTGTTCCAGAACAAGGCATGGGGTGGGGGGCTTCTCTATGGTGTCAGCCACTCCATATCAGTCATCACCTGTCATTGACCTCTGACTAAAAGAGCATGGGGTTTTCTGCACTCCAGTGCAGAATGCCTTCATAGCCCCAAAGCATCAGTCTGAAACCTTCACCTGGCTGTTAATCCTGTCCTCCTTGCTGGTAGTGCCCAAGTGGTTCTTCTCTTAGCAGATGGAGTGGCATAAGAAGCTGGCCTTCTTCATCTCCTGCCTTCTTTCATCCACAGAACAGCCTTGCCCTGTAGAAGCTTTGATGATCCCCACTTTCCAGCTGGAGAATTAAGGCACAGAGAGGTTATACTCCTTAAATTCACACAATTCTGGAGTGGTAAAGCTGGACTCGAGCCCAGTATGCTTGGCCCCGAGGCCTACATGATGCCCTGCTGTCTGCCCATCTTCCCTGTATTGAGGACAGAGTATAGAACTTGGTCTTTATTCCTAAGGCCAGCACACAGTAGGCTCAAGAAGTATTGGTGAGTGAAGGGATGAACATAAGGCATGTTTGTACATCAGTCATCCTTGGATTTTTAGACTGGGTCTCAGATGTAAGGACTCAGGAGTAAGGGGCATTGGACACTAATTACATGTGAGGAGAGCCATCTAGTCTCGGGCCAGGGGAGAAATTACTCTGGAAGCCTGTGCTCTCCTTTCCATCTCTGGTCTGAGAGTGACCCCTTGTGACTTTAAAGAGGAAGGGCAGGTTGAGAAAACACTATCCCCTTTCCCTCTCCATGCTGGTTTCTTGGCACCTGGAGATGGAACATAGCGTGTTTCCTTTAGCACTGGCGTGTTATGCACATCACACAAGCCCTGGCTGGGGTAGAGCAGCTCAGAAGCTCCCCACAGCCAGGTCCTGTGGTATCTTGGATCTTATCTGCAGAGATTTTGACCCATGTGATGTCACACAGGGTCAATGCCAACCTTGCCTCCAGTGTGCCTTAGAGAACTAGGTGCAGGGCCCTCGAGGGAGAGCAGGTGGGAAAAGGGTCTTCCTTGGTGAGGGCCACAGTTTTGTGTCAGACAGGTGGGAACAGACCTTACCGGACTGTGTGGTCTGCAGAAGGTGTGCCTTCTGGCCCTCCCTTCCTCCCATCCTCTGGCCTTTTCCCGGGGAGTAAAGCTTTCCTTAGTGCAAAAGTATTGCTTGCAATGACTGTAGACAGGGATGTGTGAGAGCTATGTGGTCCTGCCCTCTTTGTCTGAGGAACTCTGAAAGCATTTTCCTGGACTTCCCTGGGGCAGCAGCACTATTTCAGGGCCTTGTGTGGCCAGACCATTGGGGAACAAACATAATTACTGGACAGATTTTTTTCTTGTCAGTTAAGTTTTGTTTTGCATTTGATTTCTTTGGCTGCTTCCAGGTACTCTGTCTTCTGTGGAATCTTGGCCTGGCAGGAACACTTGAGGTTTTTAAGGTTTCTTTGTCCCTCTCCTGCCCCACCCCCCTCAACTTGCTGAGTATTAGCACCTTGCTGGGAAGTGAGAGCCACACCTCTGCAGTCTCTTGCATGGGCCTATTTAAGAATAACAGCCCCCTAAAACAAGGCCAGACAATACACTGGGCCAGTTAGCTTCCCCACAGGTTGCATCTACATCAGTCTTCACCTCTGACCTTGGGAAGCACAGCACTGAGGGCCTAGCTCAGTGATGTTTGCCCCCTTTCCTCATAGGTACCTCATCAACTTTCTCCTGGATGCCACCGTGGGCATGCTGCTCATCTACGTGGGCGTGCGTGCTGTCAGCGTCCTGGTGGAGTGGCAGCGGTGGGAATCCCTGCGCTTTGGCGAGTATGGTAATGTATTGTGGACACAGGGTGAGGTGGGCTGGCTTGGGAGCTGGTGGGCCTCCGTAGTGAAGGGGCTGTTTTGGGTACCTGGGTGCCACCTCCCATAGGTGGTGGGTGCCCGCTTCACTGCCAAAGCACTCACCTTGTTTCAGAGGAGGTAACAGGAGCCGGGAAACACTCCGTACTCGGAGGAGGCTGAATGTTTGCCCCTTCTACCGGGGGACACTGGCAGTTCTACTTACTGGGCTGCCAGGCTCTCTCATTCTTCCAGGCTTCCCATAGAGCTCACCTGGCATGTTGGCGAGACAGGGGCAACTCTTCTTTGGGAGAATGAAGTCCTGCCCCTCTTTCTGTTGCGTATCTGTGTTTGTCCTGTTGCTGGGCCACTCCACTGGCAGAGGGGAGCTCACACAGGGAAGACTAGATGGTGCATTCTCCTTGAAGTCTCTTCCAACTGCTGACTTGCTCCCCCTGCCAGCCTGGCTTCCGAATGTACCAGTCACCAGGGTCACAAGGTCCATCCTCATGAGGCTTAAAACAGGTGATTTGTGTTCCCTGGCCCATCTCATCAGATAGGGCTTCAGTCGCAGCATGCCTTCCGGCTGGCCCTCAGTATGAGAAACAGCTGGGTGTGGCCTCAACAAGCTGCCCTCTAGGGTTTCAGGACAGGGCTAAGGTAATGGCAGCTCTTTCCCAACTTCCCAGCTGGCCCCTGCTGTCTGCAGGCAGGAGCAGCAGCAGTGGAGCCTTTGCCAGGAGAGGGAACACAGGACAAGAGGAAGAGGTGCGGATAGAATTCCGAGTTCCACTCTCCTTGCTTGATCACACTGCCCTCAAGAACTCATCACTTGGCCCAAGGACCACTCACTCTGAAGATCCCCAGGGGACTGACAGTTTAAATGGGGAGCTGATTCGTGAAGCTAGCTGAGTGCCTTGGATATTTCTAGAAACCCTAAGTGTGTAATTGTCTCACTGAGGGGAGATGAGCTTAGGAGGTGGCTTTTCTTAGCTCTGTTACTTGATGCCTGATGAGTCACTGCCTTAAGATAGTGTCCAGCACACAGCCTGTGGTTCCTGAGCTCCAGGGAAGGCTTCTGAAGCTCTCCAAGGCATTGGTTCCTCAGCTTGCAGGATGGAGATGGATCGCAGCATGCGTGAACCAATGCAGCAGCATCCTCACTTAGAGAATAGGTACCCAGAGGAAGCAGGTGATTCACAGAGCATACCCAGCCAGCATGTCGCTGAGGGCCTCATGCCCTCTGCATCAGGGCACCTAAATCCTCCAGCCACCTCTACAAACTGCTCACAGTCACTGCTCCTTTGCCGTTGGGATCCTTTCTGGAAAGCAGAGCTCTCAAGTCAACTGTAACCAGCCAGACAGCAGGGCTCTCAACTGAACTGTAGCCAACAGGAAAGCAGGGCACTTGACTCCAGTGTACCACCTGGAGCTCAGGTGGACCCCACAGTCACCTGCGTGCTGCTCAGTTACCTGGGCTGCAGGCCAGGTCTGGTCCTGAGACACCAAGCATTGCAGCACCCTTGTTCCCAGACATGTTGTCTGCAGTCCCAAGAGTGAGTCAGCAGGAAGGAGGTAGTGGTTGTGTTTGTGCCACTTGGCCTGGCCTGGCCTTGTCTCGGCCACTAGTCCTGGGAACCAGTCTTCAAGCAGCGGCAGGGTGTCTCCAGAGATACCTGCCCTTTATCAAGGACCATCAGAGCTCTCCCTCCTCAGACTGTCTCCTTAGTTACCTACTGTGTCCTCATTGTCAATTTGTATTGTTTTCTGTCACTGCTATAACACATTAACATAGACTTAGTGAATAAAACAAAATTAATTAACTTGCAATTCCTTCAGAAGTCCAGCATGGTTCTCTTGGACTAATAGCAGGGTGACAGTGGGGATGGATCCTTCTGAGGTGATAGGGAGACTGTTCTGTTGCTCTTTTCCAGCCTTAGAGGCTGTTTGTATTCCTTGGTTCATGGCTGTCCTCCTCTGCCTTCTAGAAACTCCAGGTCAGGCTCTTCTCATATCGCACGGCTCCGACCTTTGCTGCCTTCCACATTAAAATGTCCCTGCAGTTTCATTGGGTGCACCTGGATGCTCAGAGACTCCATCTTAAAGTCAGCTGATCGGCTTAATCCCGTGGCCAGCCATTATTCCCCCTGTTCTTAGTAATATCACATATTCATAGGTTCTGGGGATTAGGATGTGGACCGTTATTCTGCCTGAGACACCTGTCAGCCTGCCTATGCATTTAAGGCAGAAACTCCATCTAGGCCCCAAAGCTCTCTTCTGTTGGAAATGAAGAAGAGGAATGTATTTTCTGGTTAGCTTTCGTGGTTCCTAGAAGAAAGTCCACAGGACTTGGGAAGCAGGCTGCACTTGGGCAGTCTGAGGTGTCTGTAGTATGATGACTGGGTTGCCCTCTCTCTGAAAGTGAAGTCTGTATCCCACAGGCTCAGGGCTTTGTGGTCTTTGCTGCATGCCTCTACTCAAAGGCTCCCTTCCAGAAGCCTCACAATATGAACTTGTTCTTTCCATTTGGGCCCTATTCCTGCAACCTTAAACAAAACACCCATGTACCTGAGGTCATCCAGTGTAGTCAAAGGCAGGCACAGTGAGTACACCTGGCTCTGGGAAGTGCTGGAGACTTTCAAGGGAGACAGAAACAAGCACACGTGTTCATTCCCACTGTGGCAATGTGAAGTCTGGGTCCATAGGAGACATGGAGTTGGAGCCAGATCACAGGTGCTTTTTTCTTCTTTTCCCTGTGGTTTTGAACTTTATTTTAGTTAAAACAAAAGGCAGAGGCAGCTCAGTCGTGCAGCAGAGCCTCAGAAGTGAAGCAGATGGGAGGAAAAGTACTTTCATCAGTCTGAGAGCAAGTGGAGGGAGCTCATTGAGCACGTGGGTATTGTTTCGATTGTAGGTAAATGGTGCCACCCACTTTGCTGACTTTCAGGCACATGAGTCCCCATTCAAAGACATTTTCCAGTAGCACTTCCTGTCTGGCTAGCCCATTTTACTTAATCAAATAGTTTCATCTGCTTTGGGGAGGTTTTTTCAATAAAGTAAGATGGTTTACTGCAAGCATTGCAAAACTCCATTAACCTCACAAGGAGGGGTGTATTTCTGAAATGGTTTGGTTTGGGCTCGAGTGCCTTACCTCAGAGGTGAAAGTAGATGGGAAGACCTTAGACAAGATGGCTGATGTGTTTCTGCATGCTTTCTGCCACCCTTCTCCCAGCATTTTCCAGAAAAGACAATAGCCTAGTGTTTTGTCCATTACCACTGCCTGAAGGCATTCCCTGTACTTCCACCACCACTGGCAGGCCTGGGCAACAATAGGGGCCTATGGCACAGGGGCCTGGACAGGAACGCCATGGAAATGGCAGAATCAAATGAGGTGGAGATTGCTCTTCAGGCGAATTCTCACTGCCCGGATTGGAGCCTTTGCCTCTCCACCCTCCTCCATTCTCACCAGTGGTGTTCAGACAGCTCTGAAAAAGCTTCTGGGGCAACTTCTGGTGGCCTCCCTAATACCCCACCCTCTGGTCTCCCACTATGGGGAGGCCAGTGTAGCTCCCAGAGGCCCATCACTAGGTTCTGCATGTCGAGATCATTCCCTACAGCTGCCAGTCCTCCACCTTGCATTGAGTCCTTTGTGAAGCATTCTGGGCTGCTCCAGGAACAGAGTGTGCTGGCCTGGTGGCCCCTTCAGTTTCTCCAGTATAGTACCCAGTAGGGTCACTGAGGGGTCTTTGACACAGCTGCAGGCCTCAGCCCACCACTCCCACCTCCTCGCCTTGAGGGCTTCTCTCTTCTCTTCCTTGTCCCTAGCCAGTGTTTTTAGGGGTTACCCATACCAGACATCTGGAACCAAAACAGATTTCTGCTCTCAGGGATGACAGCAGCCAGCAAGTGGCATGAGGGTTAGGAGGTTGAAAGGTGGGAAATGAACAAGGAGGCCAATTACTGCCTTTGTAAATCACGTCATCTGAGGAAAGGAAGGATACTGTAGTCACTGGAAAGATCAACCACGGATAATAATAGCAGTCTTGCTTCACATAGCTTCTGGTGCCAGGGGACATAGAGCCTTTCTGAGTCCCAGCAGTGAGCACTTACTAACTTTAGTGCCTTTTAATTCTTAGAATCTCTTAAAAGAAGGACTATCTGGTATGTCCAAATTAGGAATTCTCTGATTCTGTTTCAAACACTGCATTTCCCTGTTAGGAGTGAGCTGATTTTTAGAGCTTCAGGGGGCTCTTTAGGTGTCTTTAGAACCAGGGTTCTGTGGTGTTGCTGGGGTATGAGGGCTCACCAGGACCTGGATGGGGAAGAGTCGGGTGGAGGTGTTGTCTCACTCCAATGCCTGGGTCTGTGTGACGAAGTACCCACTTGTCCCTGCAGGAGACCCTCTGCAGTGCGGTGCCTGGGTTGGGCAGTGCGCCCTTTACATCGTGATTATGATCTTTGAGAAGACTGTTGTCTTCATCGTACTCCTCATACTTCAGTGGAAAAAGGTTTGCCTCTTGTCCCTGCTACAGCAGCTCCCTGCTAAGCTAAGCAAACAGGACTTCCTCCTGTCACCCACACACTCCAGCCCTGGTGGAAAACCCACTTTGATTTTGTTTTAACTCCATGAATGGACCCTGGATTTGGTCTGATATGGCAGCTATTTACAAGAGCCTTAACTTGTCATTCTTTTACTCGGCATCCATCCGCTTCATTTACGTAAGTGTCCACTAAATTACGCCTGGGGATGTATAAACCTATGAAAATGCAGGCTCTGCCTGTGGGTTGCTCACCGACTAATTAGGCTTCAGACCTTGCAACTGTCATATCTCTGTGTCTGCAAGATACACTTGTCTTGGCCAATTATTTAACTGAGCCATTTGGGGGCTGCAGTCAGCTTTCCTGGTCTGTGACCACCAGCATACAGACACGCTGGTGAGTTCACAGTTTTCCCCAGCCTGGCCTCTGCCCTCTGACCCTAATGCCACGTAAATAAGCCTACACTGCTCATCTCCACGTGGAACAGCCCCAGTCTTCCAGAACATATGGCTCCAGTCTTGGCCTCCCTTTGGTTTTATCTGTGATTAGGCTATTTTTTTAAGAAAATAGGGCAGAGCATTTCAGAGCTGTTGTCTCACAAGGAGTGGTTGGGATGCAGGATTTCTGCTAGAAGGTAATCTGGCACCTTGCTGCTCATGTCACTAATGAGTGTCCACTGAATTACTCCTCCTAGCCCCCAAAGCCCACGGTCCCCACCACTTTGGGCTTTCTAGTCACTGTGGACACAGCTTGGCTCTGGCTCGATGGTTGTGAGCCCACTGCACTTGGCAAGTCCAACAGCTGCACGTGTTATCAGTCTCCATGGGGGTTCTCACATTAATAGTCAGACCTAGGGGACTGCACTTGGTACTGGGCTGGCATTAGGGCTGTTTCCATCGGGCTCTGGGGGAGTGTCCTAGCCTGGTCTCTCTCAAGACTTCCTGGGCACTGTCCCTGTGGCTTCCTCCTCACTTCCTCTGCTTCTCTTCACAGGTGGCCCTACTGAATCCCATTGAAAACCCAGACCTGAAATTGGCCATCGTCATGCTGATCGTCCCCTTCTTTGTTAATGTCAGTGCCACGTTACTGTTCAGAGTTTCAAGTCTGACAAAAAACTCATTTTATAGCCCTCAGGTCTTTCTGTGTAACCTGTTGTCACCTCCCCACTTCTGCCTCCAGACCTGGAAATGGCAGGATTTCTTCCTCAAAAGGCAGGCCCCTACTCAGGACGCCTGTAGAAGATGAAGGGTCCTGGGAATTTTCTCTGGCGCCTCCTGCCAGTTGCTCTCCCGCCAAGGCATCCCTTCCCCGTGTGTGACCCTGAATTCTAAGTCAGGATCGTTTTGAATGTGCGCCCATCAGTTTTCCTCATACAGACCTCAGAGGGGAATTTGTGAGCACAGTGGCTAAAAGTCAGGAAACCAAGGAATGCTAAGAGTCGGCGCACAGAGGCAGTGTGGCCACCCTTAGGGACCTGTGCAGATGGCCCAGAGCAGGTGTGCAGAGACCGTGCTCCTGAGCAGCCCGATAGGCTGCCAGTCACTTCCTATAAGAAAAACTCCTCAGTGAACAGGCCAAGAATTTTCTTTCCTGTTTTCTGATAAGAAAACTACAGCGGAGAAATACACATTAGGAATTTCTCCCAGAGCCTCTGGGAGATGATGGGGGGTGAGGTTTTTCTTTCCCTACTTCTGAATTTATGTTGCAGAATGGCTGTCGGGAAGGGCGGTTGTGGGACCACTCTGCTCTGCTTGAGAATGGCTTGTACCACAGTAACCTGTGCTTTTCCTTCCATAGGCTTTGATGTTTTGGGTAGTAGACAATTTCCTCATGAGAAAAGGGAAGACGAAAGCTAAGCTAGAAGAGAGAGGAGCAAACCAAGACTCCAGGAATGGGAGCAAGGTCCGCTACCGAAGGGCTGCATCCCACGAGGAGTCTGAGTCTGAGGTAGGAACCTCCCTGACTCTGAGTCCTGGCCATCATACCACTGGCCCTGGAGGTCTCTGCTCTCACATTTGCATTTGGTCTTCTCAAGTTTCTTGAGTGCTGAGTAGTACAACCAGAGAGAGGTAGAGGCTGCCCTGAAGAGTGGCCAAGTCACAGCTCCCACCCAGCCAGTGGCCACACCTGCTGCTGGGTGGCCCTTCCTAGGACCAGAGGGTGGAGCACAACGTAAGGGTGGTCTGCCCTCAACAGTCCCACTGTCAGTGGAGAAAGATGGCAAAGAAGAGCTGCCTTGTTCTAGGGAAGCTGGCAAGGATCTCGATGGGCCTTGCAGTTGACCTTCAAGTATTAGGTGTTAAATACCTGCCCACCACTAACAAGTAAGGGAAGTTGTTGGCTCAGCTACCTAGAAACTTATAAAATAAAGGAGGAGGCAGACTTCACAGGGGCAGCCTCATCTCTCCTTATTTCCTAATTCCCAAGTTCAAAGGTATGGGTTGCAGGGAAGGACAGTGGTCATGAGCAGCAGCAGAGAGGCAAGGATTTGGATGCTGGCAGCCCACAGCGCTCACTGCACATGTGTGAGCTGTGGCCTGCAGACTCGTGCACAGAGAGCTCCTCATCACGGGCAGTGCATCCTAACATCGAGGCACAAGGAGCACCCTGAGAGGTCCTGGGGCAATCTGCAGGGATTTTTGAAAGATGAATAGACAGGACAGAAGGTAGGTCTTCTCTAGTTGCATGTTCCCAGAATCCAGCACAGGGCTTGTCACATCATCAGAGCTTGGTGAACATGTGGTGAGTGACAAACAGCATTATAGACAGAAGCAACAGCTTATGAGCATTCAGTCATATTTTGGTGCCTGGGTAATGTCAAATTCATCGTAGCCGAAGCGGCAGTTATTCTAGAGTATAGGATGGAATGACAAAAAAGGAGGTGCAAGCAAAGTTTGAGCCAGGCAAGTAAGGTGCTTTGTGACTGGGGTGTGCTCGGACAGACAATAGGGAGCCAGTGAAAATTTACTCAGGCAACCGAGAATGGGAGGCCAGAAGCCCTCAAGACGATAGTGGTGGACATATGGCACACGTGCCTCAGCAGACATGCGAGCCAAGTCGCCCCAGCAATCGAGCGTCGGATAACAGCACACTTTGGGGCACTGTTGGCACTTTGTGATGTATAAGTGGGTTTGGGTTGCAGTGTGGGCACTCTGTTTCCAAAAGCTTTGCCATCACTGCCTCAAGAGATTAGTCCAGTGGAGAAATGGTAACTACTTGCCCTGCTTCTGGAGCAGAAGGAGTTCATGTTCCCCTGCACGGGTGAGCCTGGACCTCTCCAGCTTGGTGTAGGCTCTGCCGGTCTTTCCTTGGTGTTCAGAGGTCTGAGGCCAGCAGGTGCCACAGCAGTGAGCAGGGGGTGAGCATGTTTGCCCTGGAATCCCCATCTGCAGGATGAGTTGTTCAAGGGCCTCAGAAAAGCAAACATTCCTGTTTGCCTTCAGTAGCGACGAAGTTCTTCAAAGTGACCAAATAGTCCCTCTGAATCCTGCCATCCTATGTATGTCCCAATTTCTTTACGTTTTGAAAGAGGCTTTTTGGTTTGCTTCTGCTGTGTTTAAGGCAGTTTCAAGCCTCTGGATTCCGTATGTCAAACTGAACAATTTTTTTGCCAGGATAACCTCATGCTGCAGGTCCCTGTTGAATTAACTGATTGAGCTTGGGTCCAGCTAGAGGTTGGAAGAAGAGGGTGGGGAACATCGGCAGAGACACCAAGTCTGTCAGCTCAGTCCAGATTTCTCTTTATGTAAAGAAGCACGAGACTGGGACCTCCTGGAGCACCCCAGGTGTAGGGAAGGCAAAGGCAGAAGGCACTGCTGGCAGTGTCTCAGGCTTTATCTCTCCTCTGCCTCAGATCCTGATCTCAGCTGACGATGAGATGGAGGAATCCGACATGGAGGAGGACCTCCGCAGACTGACCCCCCTCAAGCCTGGGAAGAAAAAGAAGCACCGCTTCGGGCTGCCTGTATGACACATTCCAATGCTGGGGATGATGGGTTTGGGGCCCAGCCAGCTGCTGTGTCAGCAGACGGTCACCCCACAGCATCAGCCCTTCCTCCTCTCTCTGCCCTTCCTCTTCTACCTCCACTCCTGCTGCTGTCTCTGCCCTCTCTCCACCCACTCCCAGACTACTGTGACTTAAACAGAGGGAAGAGGAACCAGCGCCCAAGTGGGCCATGGGCAGCTGGAGGTCCCCCACTCAGTTGCACTACAAACACTGACCAAATATGCAAGCCAAGAGCTTTGTTTGTTTGTTGTTGTCCTGAACAGTGCTGTGAGGGATCCCAAAGCCCTTGTCCTGTGTCTGACTGGGTGACATGGTAGAAAACACAGGTACACACAGACCATGGGTAGATCCTCTCACCGAGGCTGCCGGAAGTGTGGACACATGACATGCTTGGGGTTAAAAGTCACTCGTTGACCAAGTTGGAACCGGAATGCTTTCTTACTCAAAATGGCTTTTGTAACTCTTGATTTCTAAAGCCCATTTTATGAGCTGTGACAGTGTTACTGTTTTTTGAGTACGTGTTTATTCCTACAAAATACCTATGGGACTAATGGGCAAAACAGATTTTTAAGTCTTCCGTATACTGTTTGACTTTTATATTTTTAAGTTATATTTTCATACTATTGTATTTAAAAACTTTTTAATCCCCAAAGAAATGGGTTTGTTTGCCTTTCATGGGTTATGAGCTGGTGGGAGGAAGAAGTCAGGAGTTTTTACTTGGAATATTGTTAGGTAATGTCTAGTGATGAGTCAAGATAAGATTCAGGGGGAGGTGGGCAATTTTTATGTGGAACCAGAAGCCCGGTGGGGTGTGAAGGTCAGGCAGGCCTGAGCATGAACAGTTGATCCAGAGCTCTTTGGCATCTCTTTCTGCTGGCATGTTACAGGTGTTAGTTAATTTTGGCTGAGAAAGGAGCCTTAAAGTTAGATCTTATATCCAGAGGAATCCAAACCTCCGGGCTGCTCATGTTTGTTCCTTGCCTCCACTGAGGCAGCCTGCAGGACCAGCCCTGCCCTGGTACCTGTCACCTGCTGTCATCTGCTTGTTTGCTCAGCAGTCTGGAGAACATCCACCTGGCCAAGTGAGTCTCTTTCCACATCCTCCAAAGCTGTGAGTGGACCAGCAGGGAGGGCAGAGATGAGAGAGTTCCCTGTCTAAATTCACAGCAGCACCCAGTGCTTCTAGGATGGTAGCACCTACTCCTCAGCATGGCCACAAGCCCTGGCTCTGACAGTTTGCCGAATGTGGTGGAGTGGGCTGAGCCCAGCACTTCCCTGCTGTGGAAGCAGCATGGTGGAGCTGCCCCGGGTTTGTCAAGCCAACAGGCAGCCATGAACATGCAGGAACAAGAAACCTCACCGCTGCAGTGTGGGCCAGAATACAGGGACAATAGAGACCACTCCATGCATCCTTCTTTTTAAACCTGTGTGTTTTACTTAACCATCCTGGGCCTGAATATGCATGGATGGTTGAGCCAAGCTGTTGAACCAGGCCTGTAGGACTGCCCCCTGCTGCTCATGGCCCTGCCTGTCCTAGAGAGAGGCGCACACCTTGGAAAGGCCCTCTCAGTCCACCTTCCTGTAGGAATGCATACACCGCTGGGGCTGTGGACTAGCCACGTAGCAGGAGCTGACTTTGCTAGCATGCCCAGCATGGCCACAGAGAGGAGCGGCTGGCAGTGGGGAGACATGCGGCCCATCTTGGGTCCTGCATGGCTCCTGCTCATGTTTGCACCTCTGGCTGCCATCTCATAGCTGAAGTCTTTCCCCACCCCTCTCCAGCAGGGCTCTGCTGAGTCCCCTTTGGGAGGACTGGGACTGACCCTCCTGGTGAACCTGTCAGTCCCTAATGGTGTCACTGACTTCTCTCTTACCTTTTGCTGTTCACTGTGCTTGGACAACCTGTGGAGCTGCCTCTGCTGCCTTCCTGGATCCCACAGCCTCCTATGCAGTCCTGAGCTCCTAGTGTTTCCAAACCAGGCACAGAGGTGGGGAAGCTCGTCTGTGAAAAGTGGAAGCTACAAGTTGTACTGACATCAGGTGACTCCTGTCCAGGCTCATCCCAGCCCCTGCTCAGCAGTAGGTACAAAAGACAAAGAGGCAGTGAGAGCTGGGTTTCCCCTGAATCCTGATTTTTCAGTAAGGGCTGGAGATACAGAGCTGGCTTAGCAGAGATGGAGGTCTAATAGAGTCTGATCACAAGGGCCTACCTGGAATGCAGGCTTGGAGAGTGTGGCATCATGTGTTTGGCCTTACCTTTCTCCCGTGTGGATTTGTACCTGCACCCACATGCACACACACATTCACATGCTGCAAGAGAGCTTCCAGTAGTCACTGGGTCCCCTTGTGCAGTACTCTGTCCCATAAAAGTGGAGGTAGGGCTGTGATCAGGATGTCCTCCCGAGCTATCCTTCCCCCGTGTTAAGTTTCCTCACCACCTGCTCCAAGGTGCCTTATGAGGTGCAGCCCTTCACCGGCCAATGGCAGGCATCGCCATGCTTGAGAAGCAATGGGATACTAATGGATATCGTGTGCTGTTAATCTGATTTGTCCAAATCTGGACTTTGATCAAGTCACCCATGATGGAAGCTTGCAAGTCAAGGTTATGAACAAGTTTCTTGTAACTAATAAACCGATGAGGAAGAACTGTCATCTAACTGGAAGAGATGGTTATTGTTGTTATTTCCTTTTGCTGTCAATGGGACATTGACAGTGGCAAGGGGTGGTGAGATCTTGGTTGGCAGTGGCTTCTCAACCTGAGCATCCTGAAGATGTGCAGTGTGAGTCTGTGGCCCCTCAGCCCTCAAGCATGCCAGTGGCCTCCTGCCTCAGACTTTAACTTGTGCCCTCCCTGGCAACAGGGAGTCATAGGTTAATGGCATCTCACACCTGTTTCTTCAGGTAAAATATAAAGATTCAAATGCAAGTTGTGACTTCCTCTCAGCCTGGGGACACACAGAAGGCTGCCCCAGGACTCCCCAGACTGCACTGTGGCCCTGGGAGCTTCCTGCTGGCCTGACAGAGCAGCCACCTTCTAGGGTATAGGGCTGGCTCTTAGAAGTTTCCCACACTGTCAGCTAAGAGGAAGAGCTCTCTTTTACCCTGTGAGACATTGGCAGCCATAAGAGTTGTTGCTTTTGGTGATGGACTTTTAGTCTGACTTACTTTGAGCACCTTGAGATGGTGGGTCGGTAGGTAGGTTGGTTGGCTGGTTAGTTGGTTGGTTGGTTTGGTTGTTTTACATTTGATTTTTCTTTTCATGACGTTTACTAGAAGTCGGACCTACATGAGGAAAAAAACTGCCCGCCTCAGCTGCCATCCAGTGGTGTTGAGTCACAGAAAAACATTTTTGAGATGAAAGGAAAGATGATGTGCTTACATTGTAAAATGGTTTACAATAAAATTTGACAGCTTGTTACAGATTTGTTTTGTTTTTTTTTTAAGAAACCACTTTTTTTGGTCATTGGTTGTAGGTTTTCTGGAATTAGGACAGTGTAGTGGGTCAAAAAAAATTTTTTCCCTAGTGAGTTAGAAGGCTTTCCTGAGGAAGCAGAGCAAGAAGGAACAGTCTGCCTCCTGAGGAATTTGTGTTGGAAAGTAGCATGTGAGGAGTGAACATCCCACATGTTTGGCTCCAAGGCCTCAGAGCTGAACAGAAATAGCTGTGAGGCTGTGTTGGACCCTCAAGGACCACGCAGATGGACCTGGTAGAAGAGCCCTCAAAAAACCTGGTGTGTGTGCTCTGCCTCTTGGCCCTGTTAAATGTCTCAGGCATTCCCCATGTCCACATTTATCTCACATCTAACCTGGCAGTCCTCACATTGGCATCCTGGGACCAGAGGGAGGGTTGGGGGTGGAGGTGGAGGCATGACAGCAGTGACATTTGGGATAACCAAATGTCAGAGCCTGGTTGGGTTCCATGTGCTGGGAACTTTCAAGGCTAAAAATAACCACCAAAACAAGCTGGAAAGGCACTGGCGAGCATGGTGGTACACACCTGTAGCCCAGTATTTGGGAGATTGAAGCAGGAGGATTGTGAGTTTGAGGCCGGGTTGGATAGCAAGATGATGTCTTTAAAAAATGAGCTGGTGATCTAATGGAAAAAGCTTATACCTGGTCACATCCACCCGCATGACCACCCCAGGCTCAGGGTCCTGCCACATGCCCCTGGGGATTTTCCCCTGCAAAGATGAAGATGTGAGAGCTTCCAGCACTATGCACTCAGTGACCTTTCAGGAGGGCCAGTGGGCCTGTCCTGCCTGTCCATAGCTCGTAGCTGGAATGGGGTTTACTGACCCCTAACCCTCGTTGGGCTTTTAAACTGTTCGATGGCCAGCCCCACAGTGACCCATCTCAGAGGCTCTCCCTAGAACCCTCCTCATGAAGCCTGTTCTCCCTTCCCATCCTTCCTGGGCCCCTTACCTTCACCTTGCTGCATCCCTGTGCACACCTTGCACCAGTGCTGCCTAGACGACAAAGATGTCAGCAAAAACCTGATGCAGCAGCTCCCCAGACTCGCCTCAGCCCCATTTTTCTCCACCCAAGAACCAGTGCTCACCCCTTTCTTGGAGTCTGGAACAAATGCTTCTGAGGAATGGATAGGAAACTTCTGCCCTGCTGCCTTTGTGGGGTGGGAAGTCTCTTCCCGCTGGGATCCAGGGAAAGGGGCAGAAGAGGAAACAATCACAGAGCATCTGACCCAGCTCAAGACCCTCCCATTTCCTCAAAGACAGCCTCCCACACCGGAATGGGCCCCTGCAGACTATCGCATTCCAGGACTCACATTCACACACACACACACACACACACGCGCACACGCACACACACGCCAGTCACCACTAGTGCCTGGCATCTGTTCCTGAGGGTGCAGGGTCTCCCCAGCTGTCTGCTTCCCCCAAGACACTGCCCCTATCCTCTCCAAGAATAAACTCTGAAGCCAGTGGCTGTGTGGGCCTGAATCATCAGGGAGCCTGTTGGAGGAGGGGAGTGACTTCCCGGGACCGGCGAGCAGGCTATATAAACTCCAGAGAGCCGGGCTTCACACATCTCTTCCCTCTGCTGTTGCCTTCCAGCGGTGCCCTCGGAGAGCCAGCTCACCCAGCACCCACCATGTCGCAGGTAGGCGATCCAGCATGGGCTGGGTTGGAGCCAGAGGGCCTGGGGAGGAGGCCCGGACACTGTCATCTCTGACAGCTGTCTTGAGCCTAGAACCAAGCATAAACAGGGCACTGCAGCCCCTGGGAGGCCAGGGACCAGCGAGGACACCCTGGGTCCCACCTTACCTTCATAAGTCCCTGTTAGGCTTGACTGGTTATTCCATGGTGGGGTGGTAGGGGTGGTGCTTCTGTGCGTGTGTGTATGAGAGAGTTGTATACGATTGTAGCTGTGGCCTCTGTGGCCATGCAGAGTGTGTGTGTGGGCACAGCTCTGTGTCCCTGTAGCTATCTCCCCAGCAGTGTCTCTGTGAGGTTGGGGGGTGCCCCAGGAGCCTAGCCTGGGCGGAGAGGGAGTCCCTGCACCTGTCTCCAGGGCTTAGGAAGGAGTAAGGCCCAGACTCCCAGGCGCCCGTGGTTGTGTGTATGGTAAGCACAGTCTGTATGTCCCGGCACTGGAGAGGCAGGCAGACCAGCCTGCCAAGGGGGAGGGTTGTCCTCGCTGCTCATTCTGTGAGGGTGCCAAGTTTGTAGTGTAACTTTGTGGCATTGGGGCTGTCTACTTCTCCCAGAAACACACTGAAAGTAAAAATGCTGGTATTGTGGGGGTTGAGGGTTAATCCCTAAGGGACCCCTTGCCATTCAGTGAGCAGGTTTCAGAACTCATCAGATGGCCTAGGGCTTCGAGGCCTCAAAGGCGGGCCTTGTCCTCTTTGCCCATTGTGCCCAACCCTGAATTTGGCCGGGCAGGCAAACCCATGCCAGGCTGTAGGGTGCTGCCCTCAGAGCTCCCTATCTGTTGGGGAGGGTAGCTGTGCAGGTCAGACCAAGGGGCAGGGAGGCTCCCGGGGGATGGGGTGTAGTCAACAAGGCTTCTTGGAAGAGGAATGGGCCTCAAAATGGCAAAAATGGGCCCCGTAAGCCTGGAAGAAGGGCTTGGCCAACCAAGGCACAGAAGTAGGGAAAGGTCTGTCTCGAGGCCTCAGGTCATGAGATAGGGTTCTGGGCACTTCAAAAGGATGGCACTCCTGAAGCTCCCATCAAGAAGAAGCGACCCCCCGTGAAGGAGGAGGACCTGAAGGGGGCCCGAGGCAACCTGACCAAGAATCAGGACATCAAATCTAAGACCTACCAGGTCATGCGGGAGTGTGGTAAGTGTCAGCTGCGGTTGATGGGGGATTGGGGGCACAGGTGTCTGTCAGTGGTGGGGAGAGAGGGTCTGGCTCCTTTTCTGAGAGTCCAGAACTCCTGGCCAAGGAGAGGCTGCTCTCAACACAGGGAGCCTCCTCCAGAGAAAGCTAGGCCAGGCCCTCATGGTACTCCTGTGCTCCCTTCCCCCAGAGCAAGCTGGCTCGGCCGCCCCATCGGTGTTCAGCCGCAGTCGCACAGGTACTGAGACTGTCTTTGAGAAGCCCAAAGCCGGACCAGCCAAGAGTGTCTTTGGTTGAGAAGTGCTCACCACTCCTCTCGCCTCCCTGATCCCCTGGACACAGGAGCCTTTCCCACGAGCTCTTTTTTATGCCGCAATGTGCCCTTCTCCCTGCTGTCTCCAGCACTGTCACCCCTCCCTCGCTGTCCCTTTGGCACCAGTGCCCTGCAAACACCAATAAAAAAGATACCCAATTGACCTCGGCATTGGGAGGGTGTTGGTTGGTCGTGGCCCCTATCTGCAGAGGACAGAGAGGACACGGTGGGGCACAGAAACATGCCTGTGGCCTTCCTGGGCTTTTGGGAAGGTCCCAGGGGATAATGCAGGTACTTTTAGGGCTACTGAGACATTAAAAAGAGTGTTGGATGTGGAGGCCTGGTACTGACTCTCTGTGACGTCAGACCAGTCTCTTTTCTCCCAAGCCTCAGTTTCCCCGTGTATACCAAAGAGGAGTTGAGCTGGAGTCTGTTCTGTGAAGGCCCACAGCGATACTGCTCAGAATGAAGTCAGTGGAGGCCTGGTGCGTGCCCCTCCCCCTGCCACAAAAGCCACTGAAGTGCTTCCAAGGATGCCATGGCCTTGTGGGACCTCAGCCGTCATAGCCCGCTACCCCCACACCCTTGTTCTCACTGCCTTCTTGACAGTTTGCACATCCCTCAAAGACAAGGCCAGGGCACGGTTGCTCTGGCCAGTGACAATGAGTCTCCTCTTGCAGACAGCAGGGGAGCCTCCACCCCTTTCCACCCCACCATGCTACCAGGTTCTCAGCAGTGTATGAGCCTTCCCTCTTCAGGCCCCTGTCCCGTGAGCATGGAGCTGTCAAATCAGGAGACTTGAGACCATCGGCTGTGACGGCCAAACGGCAGCAGGCTAATGGAGGCTTCTTCTGGGGCTGGACTGGCAGGCCTTGGGCTTGTGGTGCCTGGCACAAGGCTGATGCCATCTAGGAAGACCCCCTTGTCCCCCCGGCAAGTGGACCTGGCTGCTCAGGCCCTTTCCCACATCCCCAGCTAGCCTGGCCTCCTTATATAGCTCTGACTCCAGGCTAAGCCCATGCTCTGTGCCCCGTGGGAGCAGACCTTCTGTGGGAACCAAGCCTGGATTGCCCTCTGGGGCTTTGGGGAAACTCTTCCCCCAGGTGCAAAAGGGATATGTTCCCCTGTGAACCCCATCCGAACCCCAGAGCCAAAAGTGTGAGCAGTATGGACGCGCACAGAGGTGAGGCTTCTAGTCATAGCCACACTGAGGAAAGGAGAAAGCTTTATTTGCAGCTGTAGACTTACTCCAAAGTCTATGATCCCCTTCCCCCCAGGGGCAGATGCTGCCAGCTTTGAGGAAGCCAGGACTGATGGTGGAGACACTGCCCCGAGGCCCTGTGTGGGCACCCACAGCAGCCGGAACCCTCGGGCTGGTGTGTCACTGAGCTGTCCTCCCTGACCCAGAACTTGGCCCTTGGCCACACTTTTGTGACTCATCTTAACCCACATGTTTCCACAGACTCAGGAGCTGGCCATCCCAGAACCACCAGGGAGTGAGTGTCAGCTGCATCCAGGAGCCTGATATTTGTTCATTTTATTACCATTTGTTATCAAAGCAGCACTTAGACTTTATTAAAGGCAAACAGAAAAAGCCACCAAGAACACTACTCAGGCCCTTGGGCAGCACCCCACCAGGCCTGCTGTGGCTGCATCAGACCACCCTGACTGTGTCATCCTGCCGTCTCAGGCCACCTGAGCCCACCCACCACCACACCCACACCTCCTCCAGCAGCTCAGTGCAGCTGTCTCTTCTGTGCCTTGCTCTCCTGTCAGTGAACTCCCAGCATCCCACAGATAGACATCTGTGACCCGGTATATTGTCAAGTTGCGGACCTGGTTTGGGGCCCTGCTGGAGTTGAACCTAGAACCCTGGCTAGATTAATGGGGCCTAAACAGCAGTCTGGGACCCAGAAGAGAAGAGGAAGTCCTGGCCCACACATCTCACTCCAGAAATAAGACATTCCCAATCTGCCTGGGCTCCCTCAGACCCCTCCACAGGCCTCTCAATTCTTTCAGGGCCCAGCTGCCCAGTCCCACAAGGCTACCAGGGTCCCCTTCCCTCGGGAAGCCACCTGGAATGGGCCTCTAGCCCTAGTTATCCCTGCCAGCCCCGTTTCCCCATCATCCCACCAAGCTCCGTAGGGCTGGGGCACACAAAAGAAGACTGGTAGGGGGGTGGGGGTCTCAGTCCCTGGGAAACTTTTGGACCTTTCAAAAGGGGCCCCAATACCTAACTCTAGCCTGAGTCTGCCTTTCCTTTGCCCCAACCAAAGTCCACTGGACATTGGTCATTACCTGCTTATCTGAGGCCCCTGAAGTTTTGGCTTACAGATCCCCATTTCCCAGAACCTCCCCCCACAGGGGTGGAGCAGCAGACAGGCTGTTAGTTTGCTTCCCATTTGCTCTCAGGCTCAGAGGCAGCCTGGCAGATCCCGGAACCAGAATGAAGATCCCAGAGCATGTCCACACCTGCAGAATCATCCTGGTCTTACCCTCACTGCTGCTGACTGTCCTCCAGACTGCCACTGCTCAAAAGGTATTGTGTACCCATGGCGCCTATGTGTGTGCTCGAGTGGGTGCAGTGTGAGCTGGGGAATGACGGCACATACTAGGAAGTGGGGAGAGCCTCTGAGTGTACAAGCATTTAAGTAGGAGTGTGTGTGACACTGTGTGTGTACAAAGAAATGGTGCACTACCTGAGGGCCTTATGGGTGTTCCTCTAGTAGAAGGGGTACCCTGTTACTTCTATTTTGCAGAAGAGGAAATATAGCTTGGCCAGTTGTTTGTCCCTTGAGGTTGGCAGTAGAGCAGGGTGGGCAGTGATGTAGCTTTATGAGCCAGGCCCTTGCACTCCCAGCTGAGTGACCCCCATGCTTGCTATGTCTCAGTTTCTTCATCTGTAAAATGGTAATCATAGAACCTTTGCAGAGGATTGCTGTGAAAATCTGGCTCATAATACTTATAAAATACCCAGTACAGCTGGGTATCGCGACACATGCCTGTTTCCAGCTACCTGGGAGGCTGAGCCAGGAAGATTGCAGGTTCAATACCTTAGCAGCTCTGTGCTGAGCCATGTGTGCATGTGCAACCATGTCCAAAGCAATATGGTTGGCACCCATACGAGTGTGGTGCCCACAGGCAGATAAGAGGTGTGTAAGGCTCTAAATGTGTGCCAGTGTCCTTTTGGAGAATATTGCAGATGTTGGGACAAAGATCATACGCTGGGGGGTCCTGCAGAGAGGTGGGGTGAATGGAGGGTTCACTGCTGGGAAAATAGGGACATAGAAGATTCCCAGTCCTTAGACAGTGGACCGTTTTCTACTTCCAAATTCTCACAACTGGTTGGAGACTGGCGGGAACTGTTTTGCCCAGTTTTTGTGGGGGCCAGAGTCACCAGAAATAGAAAGGCTGATCTGCTGCCCTTTTGCTGGGCAAAGCTCAACTAGACACACAGCTGCTGGCCTCACCAGAGCCCTCACCTCTGCACAAGGAGAAACACAATCCCCTCCTAACCTCTGGTCCTTGCTATACCCGTGGGGCACTATAGGCCCCCAAAGAACAAGACAAATGTGGCCCAGGCCCCTTGATGCTATAGGGTAGGGAATGAACACACCCTGACTCTTATTTCAGACAGACAGGCAGATAAGAAATGCCACTCTGGATTCAGCCTGAGCTCTGCTTAGCAACTCAGATTGGGACCAAGGTTTGGTCTGGATCAGGCTCTTTTTTTCCATACTTTTTTGATTAGTGCAGATTGGATATACAGATAGGCGGGTTTCATTTTGGCACATTCGATGCACATATTTCATTTGTTTTCATTCTCCTGCCCCCTTGAAGAGGATTGCCCATGCTAGTGTGGCACTGAAACACTGACGTGCTTCCCCTTCACTGCTGCAGAATGGCATCGACATCTATAGCCTCACTGTGGACTCCAGGGTCTCTTCCCGATTTGCCCATACGGTCGTCACCAGCCGGGTAGTCAACAAGGCTGATGCTGTGCAGGAGGCCACCTTCCAGATGGAGCTACCCAGGAAAGCCTTCATCACCAACTTCTCCATGTAGGTGCCTGCCTCCCTTCCTCCTGCCCACAGCCCAGCTCTGTGACTCCATCTGCTCTGGGCCCCAAGACCCTCTTCCAGAAACAAGGTGTGCTTCACCTGTAGGCCTCGCGGAAAATGGAGGCTTTACCCAGGAGCTCTCTGTTTTCAGAGGCAATCTGGCCATTCTGCCTGCCACCCTCATCTCTGAGTGCTGCTCAGGTGGCAGGCAGAAGACCACAGCATATTTGTCTTTGCCTTTGAAGAGCACAAACTTGTGGTATCCTGAGGCCAGACCCAGCTAGAAGGGAGTGATCAAAGAAGACTCCAGCTCAGAATACCTAGAACCTCCTAACCCAATGGACAGTCCTACAATGGAGAGTTGCCATGAGGAGGGGTCCTCCTTGTTCCTACAGAGGGCTTGCCTGCTCTGCCACAGATGCCTGAGGTTTCCATGGACTCTGAGCTGGTGACAAGCCTCCCCGCCCTTCCCAATGCAGTTTTGCAATGTTTGCGAAGCTCAGCAGAACGCTCTGTCTGTCCCTGGCCTCCAGAAGAGGTTGTGATTGAGGAGAGGAGAGAGGCTGCTCCCAGAATTAGGGAGGGTGCTGGATGAGACGGAGAGGGAATGTTCCTGGAAAAGGGCAGTAGGGGCTGGGGACCCTGTGGTTGGCTCCTTTCCCTGTCCCACCCATCCCCCACTCTGCGGCAGCCGTAGCTTTCATGTCCTGGTCCAGCTCGAAACCAGAGCCATGCAGGCTGTGCCAGCCTCCTACCAGGAGCCAAACTACCATCCCGGCTGAGAGCCCAGGACTGGCACCACCTCTCTCTAGCCCCAGATCTCGCTGCCGTGTGAGACAGGGAAGTACGTGACAGGGTTTCCCACTCCCTGATCCAACCGTGCACCCCACCAGCATAGCTGCAGATGCTGAGAACTGTCTGCTCGGGAGGGGGAGCTGGGCTGCCCACCCCAGCCCCATCCCGGCCCAGGGTTGGAGTGTAAGCAGGGAGGTGGGGGTGGGGTGCCAGTTGTGTGCAGCTGCTCACCCTCCCTCAGGCCCCGCGCCCCCACCTTTCACACCCTCCCCCAGAGCCTGTGAGGGAGTGCTCCCCTGGCGTGCCC